GGTAAGTGTGTCAGCTTTTGCGAGTAGCTGACTTTCATGTACTTCATTTTATCAAAAACCTGCAGTAATGTAAATGGAAGGTTAATTTCTAATCGCCGATACTTGGTTTAACACAAATGTTCAAGCGAGTTATTGATGTTCTTCTAGACAGCTAAAGTTGTACCTTGTTTCCTCTCCATAAATTCTTCAAGCTACTGAATGACAGGTTGAATTCCACGAGGTTGCGTGGGTAAAAGTTCGCAGGCAAGGACTCAAATGGATACCCGTGCCAGTGTAGGCTCCTCAGTTCATTTGAAAGAGCTGTCAACTTACTTGCCATATGCAACCTAGAAGAGCCTTCTGTTGTGGTGTCTATTACTCTAAGACTCTCCAACTTACGAACAAGAGGTTTGAACTTCCCAGAAAGCTGAGCATCATTTCCCCTGTTTTCATCGATGTCAAGGGATGGTTCTTTGTTGAGTACGTACTCAGAACCTCCAGAATGGTGAGGATAACAGACTTTAAGCAATCTGAGCCTATTCATCTTGTGGAAAGCTCCACCTTTGAGAGACATGTTTTCCTGAACTTTGGAAAGATCAAGGACAATGCTTTCAACATCTTTCGTACCCTGTACCAAGTAAGTACAAATAGCCACCACTTCAGTATTACCGCTATGTGCAAAGCATACGGTAGGTAGGTTTGTAAAATTTAACGCCTAATACCAAAATAAGGCAAAATCTTATTTGCTTACCGTGTTTTGCACTAGTACATCGAACACATCCAGATGATTCCACAACCTGCTGCGCATTCCAACCTCATGCAAAGACTCTTGTCGGACAACTTCCCATGCCATCTGCTGCAACAGATCATGCATCCAGACTTTGTTGTCTTGGATGGTTATGAGAGATTTCAGGAGGAGGACTTTCAGTCCATAGCGTGCAGAGGAACCACAACCTTCTAGTATGCTCACAACATACTCCTCATCCTCCCCTTTAAAGAAACAAGCAACATCGAGGAATATGTTCTTCTCGGACCTATCAAGCACATCAAAGCTTTGTCTCAGGATCTGGACTATGTCCTGAGGTGGAAATTCTTCCAAGACCTTCAACTTGCTCTCCCAATCACCTCTGTCCATGTTGAACAAAGAAGATCCCAAAACTTGCAGAGCTAAAGGAAGACCACGAGCATAGTTCACAACACTCCGAGACAATCCCATAAATTCCTGCATCCTCGAACGCTTCTTGAAAGCATGTTGGCAAAAGAGCTGAAGCGATTCCGACTCACTTAAAGGCTTAGCCTCATAAACTGAATCCACCTCATGTTGCTCCAGCAAGTGCTTATCTTTACTTGTGATGATGATTCTGCTCCCTGGTCCGAACCAATCGCGATCTCCTGCTAAGCTTGTCAATTGATTTACGTTAGAAACATCATCAAGAACAACAAGGATACATTTGTTGCGAAGCCTTCCCCTCATTAGTACATCCAAATTCTTGTCCAAAATCCTCAGACCATCTTCAGCAATCAAAGCAGAGAGGAGTTTTCTGCGCAGATGATCGAGGCCACGTTTCTCTGCAACATCTCTAACGTTCTTAAGAATGCAGCAAGCATCGAATTTATGAGAGATGTGGTGGTAAACAGCTTCGGCAAGAACGGATTTACCAATTCCTGCCATCCCCCAAATTCCAACCACTCTAACATCAACCAAACCTGTGCTTAGCAGCAACTCCACGTCCTTGATTCGTCGCTCAATTCCTACCAGTCCTGAAGGCTTGTTTGAGAATCGACGACCCAACTTGTTCACTACATCTTCCACAATCTCCTGAATAAGAGCTGGTTCCTCCCTAAGCAAACACAAAAGGATTGGAATCAACGCCTAACTTTGCAGTTCAGTTCTTGAATTTGGGTGCTGTTAAAGTAACAAAATCCGAATTGATGCTTACTTATGACGCGAGTCCCAGCCGCTTAATTCGGCGGCCTTCTTGAGAGCAGCCTTCCAATTCCGGAGCATTTCAGCATCATCGGGGAAATCCACCTCGTGTTGAGCAAACGAAGCCGCGTAACTGTTCCGGACCTCGCCGACATCCGATGGATCCACGCTGTAGAAGACCGGGATAACAGTGTGGCTCTTGTTCTCGTGCTCCATACACTGAATGATGATCTGGAGTTCTTCCAAGCACCATGGAGAGGAAGCATAATCTTTGGAGAAAACGACGATTGAAAACCTAGACAGTTCGATTACGCGGAGAATCTCCGGCGAAATCAGCTTGCCGCGCTCCAGCTTCTGGTCGTCCTTGAAAGTGCTGACCCCTTTCTCCTTGAGAGCGTTGTAGAGATGGCTGACGAAGCCGTAGCGAGTGTCGGATCCTCTGAAGCTCAGAAAGACGTCGTAGCGAAATTGAGAGGCCGGGGAGGAGGAGGAGGAGGAGGCTTGGCCGGCGGCGGCGGAGGACATGGTTGGTTGAAGCGATGCACTGTTCCAATTTCCTGAGTCAACTATTCCGATTCGAGCGCTGTACTGTGCTCCTCTGGGCTTCTGGGATCTAAGAACAAAGGTTGAGAAGCTTGCCTCAGCGATGACCGGAAGGCAGAGGGAGACGATTCATGGATTCGAGCACCACCGTCGCCGGCTGGATATCACAGATTATTAACAACTCTTGCTTGTTTTCTCACGAGGAGTGGGAATCAGAATTTAGAAACTCCCAAGCAATGAAGCAGACGACCTGAACCAGGCCATTTGGGGTAGGGGCGCGTTGTAGGAAAGTGCCAGGAAAGCGTTGAAAATGGGGGAAAGTCAATGGACGGTAAAAGACTTTCCCGGGTTTATTTGAAAAAAATATATATTTCTTTAATAATTTTTTACAAAATGTATTCAGAAATTATGGATTAATTAGATTTGAGAAACACGAATAGGGAAGTGGTGATCAAATAAGGTAACAACCAGGTTGAACAGAAAACCCTACAAGCTTGTTTCTCTTTCATTTCAACTCTGCCTTATATAGGCTGATTACAAATAAGAAGACAACCAGCCCCACAATCTTATTTGGTAGCTTGGACAGGAAACAAAAGCCCTTGTGCAGAAAGCAATGGGCAAAACGAAAGTCTAAAACGACAGCGTTCAACAACAACACAGAAATAGAGCAAAACGACAGCGTCGGGGGTAAGTGACTCGTGTGAGTCAAAACGGGACCACTTCAGCCTTCTTCTTCATTGATCAAGAGATAGCCGTTGAGTTTGAAATTGGGGATTGGGAAGATTGCAAATCTGCATTTGCTACCCCCCCCCCGGCAAGTTGGTGGGCATAGATTATGCACACCAAGCTTAGAGAAAAGTAATTGAAATGGTGCAGGAGACAAGGGCTTGGTGAAAAGATCAGCTAATTGATGATTGGAAGAGACGTGGAGCAGTTTGACAACACCAGTTTGAAGCTTCTCACGCACGAGGTGGCAATCGAGCTCGATGTGCTTCGTGCACTCGTGGAACGTCGGATTCTGGGCGATGTATATGGCACTTTGATTATCGCAGAAGAGAGCAGCTGGCTTCGGATGGCCGATTTGGAATTCTTTCAACAGAAATAGCAACCATTGAATCTCGCAAGAGGTGTATGTCAGGGCCCTGTATCCAGCCTCACAAGACGAGCGGGAAACTGTCTTTTGCTTCTTGCTTTTCCACGAGATAAGAGAATCACCAAGGTAAACACAATAACCTGTGGTTGAGCGTCTTGTATCAATACATGCTGCCCAATCTGAGTCTGTGAATGCCTTCAACTGAAAAGAGCCTTTTGAAAGGAAGAAGAGCCCTGTGGCAGGAGCTGTCTTCAAGTAGCGTAGAACTCTTAGGACAACCTTGTAATGAACTGTACTAGGATTAGACATGAACTGGCTGAGTTGCTGAGTTGAAAAACTAATGTCAGGCCGAGTTGTAGTGAGGTAAATCAACTTGCCAACAAGAGTACGATAATGTTCTGGGTCTTCATAGGGTGTTTCAACCTGACCGGAGAGATGTATTTTGTAATCCATTGGAGTTGTAATACCCTTGGAATCCAGCAACTCAGCTTCTTCGAGAATTTCCAATGTGTACTTCCTTTGAGATAAATGAATTCCTTTGTTGTTTCTGGCCACTTCAATTCCCAAAAAGAACCTTAAATTGCCCAAATCTTTGATGTTGAACTCATGATGAAGGAACTTTTCAATCTTGTTATCTATGTGATGTCATTGCCTCCAACTAAGAGATCACCCACATAGATAAGGATGCAAGTATAGGATGAATCTGTTACCCTGAAAAACAAAGAGTGATCTGCCATGCTTTGAATGTAACCAAGTGTTTGAATCTTGCCTGTGAGCTTAGAAAACCACTGACGTGAAGCTTGTTTCAAACCATAGAGTGATTTCTTTAATCTGCAGACTGGTTTGTCAAAACCTGGTGGTGGATCATATCCTTTTGGCAATGTCATGTAGACTTCCTCTTGGAGATCTCCATGGAGGAAAGCATTGTTAACATCTAACTGGTGGATGTGCCAGTTTCTAAGAGAAGCAATTGCTAGAAATGTTCTCACAGTAGTCATTTTGATCACTGGTGCAAATGTATCCTGGAAATCCACCCCTTCCTGTTGTGAGTTGCCTTTGGCAACAAGTCTAGCTCGAAGTCTATCTAAGCTTCCATCAGATTCAAATTTGGTCTTGTAGACCCATTTGTTCCCAATAGGCTTTTTACCAACAGGCAAATTCACCACATCCCATGTCTGATTTTGAATTAAGGCATTGATTTCATGCTGCAGATGACTCACTCCTACTGTCACTCTAGAAAATGGCCAAGTGTAACCACTTCCTAAAGCGTAGTATAGCGGGTTTGGGTTTTAATGTCAACCCGGGTCCTAGATTTGATGACTACTCGGTGAATTCTTGTTATCTAGCAGTGAAACTTTAGTGCATGTCCAAATTAACAAACAAACAAAGCAAGTTAACGGTTGTTTTCAAGTCGAGAGAGGTCACCCGGATATGGTTCCCCCTAGACTGCAGTTAAGCCGGATTGCAATTTACCAAGTTCAGTTTTTATGAAAGTTATACTGCGGAAGGTTCTTAAACAGTCTGAAGTCTCGACTAAAGGTCTCCAGACCCTCTCAATCTGAGTCTCCAGCGGGCGACTAACCTCCACCGGAGTAAACAGATTGAGGCCCTAACGAACCAAACCTCCACTACCGAATTGAATTCGGTACATAATAGCGAATTGGCTCCTCGACTAAAGTCGCCAATTCACTACCTTCAATTAAGGATGCTCTATCAACCTAGGAAGATATTCTCATTCTAGGTTAAAGACGAAACAACAGGAATTTGATCAGGATTCAAGTCATTCAATCATTCAAGCCTCAATCGAATATAATCAAATCATAAACTCTGTACTTAGGTTCATACAATCAGACCTAACATACAAATCTAGGGTTCCCCATACCCAGATGAATGGGGAAACTACTCCATGGAGAGAGAAGCAAAAGCAGATTCAGACGCGGAAATCATACTGTGAAGGATGAGTTTCTGCTCCTGGTTGTCAATCGGTACTTCTCCAAGCTCAAGCCGGGCTCCAATGGTGATGAAGATCAAGCTATGGCACTTGGGAACTCTGGTTCGTCGCTTTCTCTCTCTAGGAATCGCTCTGTCTCTCTAAAACTCGGAACCTCTTCTCCATTGGCTCAAATCTGCCTAAAACCCCGATTCTGGGCGAAATACGGGCAGAATTACAGTCGTAATCTTGGTCTGCCCGTAAATCGCCCAAAACGCGTGTTTCACTTTACTCTGATGAGGGTGGAATTACGACCGTAATATATAGATTACCGCCAGTATTTACTCAATTACGGTCGTAATTTGTGGGACACTTGCCCGTAATTCCACTACCGAGAGGAATTCTGGGGAAATTAGGCTCGGCATTGCTTTTACGGGCATGCCTGGACCAATTACGCCCGTAATTTGCTCTGTGAATTGCCACCTGACCTCCAAATGACCCGAAACTTGCGCCTATGCACCTCTTTACTTGCTAGGACCTGAAATACGACAAAACAACACAACCTAGCGTAAAATAGGCCAAGGAACAATCAATTCGAGCTAAAATGGTCAGGAAACAAGAGTGAAAACATGTGCAAATACGACGCTATCAAATTCCCCACACTTAACCGTTTGCTTGTCCCCAAGCAAACCAAGTCAGATACAAGGTAAGCTCGAAAAATCTCAATCATGAACCCCTCGGGGACATATCACATAGGCACGAAACATGAGAATCACACCGGCTTTCAAACATCAACACATGAACAACTTCAACTGCAACCTGGACAACCACCACAGAGGACATTCGAGTGCAGCAAAATCGAGTAAAGGAGGAGTCTCCTTTCTGTTCACCAACCAACCTAGACTTGACTCAACCACTTACTCAAGACAGTCACCTCATGCACAAAACTCAAGATATCATAATTGAGACCGAGCAATATAGGTCCTCACCGGGGTATAGAGTATAGATAATATGAGAAAATGAATCGCTCACTCTCGACCAGTGGGGTCAGGACAATTTGATGTGAAAAATGCGCATGCTTATTCTCTCAATCCCTAACGTCTCTTCACCATGAAGGCAACCTCTAAATGTTAGAGTTCACATATAGGGTGTCACCACTAACTAATCCGGAGGTCTTAGACACAGGTTCAAATGACTGGTTAGGGTCTTGGACATGGGGAAAAGGCTTTTTAGGTGGTGGAAATATTCATAGCACAAGGTTCCACAGTTCCCAATCCAACACAATCACAACCAATCAAACCAGTATTTCCTTTCTGCCATTCTGCATTACTCAAATTCTCTAGAGCATAAGAGCGAAGGAGGTTATATAAATGTCAGCATTTCCAAGCCAGACTGCTAAGAAAAACTACTTAATGGGCACTATTCAGATTTTTGGTAGTGGCTCTCTTTCTCTTTCCTTTTTTCTTTGTTTTTCTTTCATTCAATTTTTTTCATTTCTTAAGAGAACCACCACCTCTACACATTTTTCAAACACATGCCCCATTTTGTAAGCACTACCTCCAACCCTCACATTATATTTAGCAGAAGCAACAGAAAACATGTAAAAACCACTCTGTGGAACCTTCTAAGAGATGCAAAAGGGTGATTTTTTTTCATTGTAGACCGAAAGAAAGGATAACACACGGCTCAAAGGGGCTGGCTAGGGGGTATGACACACTAGGACAGTCAATTTGGTCGTGGGCTAATCCTATGCCTCCATCATCCTAGCTAATGACAACGTGAATGCTGCACATCATGGAAGAGGGAACTATCACACAAGAAAGAAACGAGCAGGCTCAAATCTCACATGGCTACCTATATGCTCTATCTCTCATTCTGATTCCCTAAACTAGGTGCATAAACGACTTTCAAGAACAAGTGATCAATCCAAGTCACAGTTGGTAAGCAAACAGTTGAAAG